CCAGATGACTCCAATCCACTCCAGAGCTTTTCCTGCAGGCTGACGAATCCAGCCTGTACCATAGCTTGTAACTGAATAGGAGACTTTACAGTTGATAGTGAGAGTGGCATCAGGACGGACAGTCAGAGACTCAGGCTGAGTGAGTTCATATGAATCAATACCTGTATCAAATCAAATAATACCAGTTAATAAGAGAGCATGATGCTTAAAAACTGTTAACAAACTTTTTAGCAACAAAATTATGTATCTCACAGAAAGCAGACTAAACTTACAGGATATCACTGCCAGAAGCAGCACTAAAGATGAAGAGATCATGGTTTGTTTCACAGCACAGTTTGAATGAACTGAAGCAATACTTCACTCCCTCTATTGATCAGATGAATGTATAAACTGACTCATACCTGCTGTTTAAATATGCAACAGGAGATTTACATAATCATATGGAGCTACTAATCAAATCTACATGCTACAAAAATATTCATGTTAGGGCTAATATTATTTATTGCTCTCTTGAAATATGGTATGATTCATATGCACTTTTATATTCCTATGTATGAGGATTTTTTTTAAAACTTTTTATTCAAGATGTTCTTCCATGGGGAAGTCATAGCCTAATGGTTAGAAAGTCGGACTCGTAACCCAAAGATTGCGGGTTTCTAGTCTCGTACCGGCGGGGATTGTAGGTGGGGGGAGTGAATGTACAGCGCTCTCTCCCACCTTCAATACCATGACTGAGGTGCCCTTGAGCAAGGCACCGGACCCCCAACTGCTCCCCGGGCACCGCAGCAAAAAAATGGCTGCCCACTGCTCCGGGTTTGTGTTCATGGTTTGTGTGTGTGCACTTTGGATGGGATAAATGCAGAGCACTAATTCCGAGTATGGGTCACCATACTTGGCCACATGTCACGTCACTTTCACTTTCACTTAGAGAAGAACTGCTTGTGGTTTATCACTGTGTTCACTCTCGTGCATCGTAAGTCACTGCTGTGTCCTTAATCGTCATATTCTGTCCTTATAGAGTTGTTTTGCTCCTGTAAGAGTCTCTAGTAACTTAAAAATCTGATTTTTAGTTTGCCACTGTAACGTGTAAAACCACTACCACAAATCTACACATCAAAAGACACATGTTGTGTTGAGCTTTTAGTGAACTTCACTGTACATGGTCACCAGTGACATCATCTCATTAGGCTGCATTTTATAGATGTTTTATTCTCTACTGCCACCTGTTGACTTCTAGTAACGAGATAAAACAGCCAGTGTGGTTTTTGTTCAGCTGTACAACCCCTTCGTGTCACTGTGAGTCTCTTGCACAGTAATACACGGCTGAGTCTTCTGCTGTCAGGCCTGATAGTTTCAGATACACCATACTCTTTGAATTATCTCTGGTGATTTCAGTTCGACCTTTGAAGGATTCAGAGTAAGTCATTGCCACTGCTGTCACTATTAACATGTCCCATCCACATGTAACACTTTCAGGGTTGATTTGATTTGCATTGGGAGGGTCACAAGGTGCAATCATGACTGATAGGCCAAACTATTAAATTACAATATAAACCATTACCAGTGTGAGTGATGAAAACATTTATTAATTATATTCTGAATATGTATCTCTTCGTTTACTGTTATATGCCTAATACAGAATTCTCTCTAAATGGGACACAAATCTATCTATCTATCTATCTATCTATCTTTTATTTAGATTGTTGATTAAATATTATACTATAAATATATTATATACTCTTATATATACTCTTATTTGTATTACGATGATGTTTTTGTACAGGGAAGCTGTTGCCATCAGGCATTGTGATGCTCTGGCACAATAATACACAGCTGTGTCTTCAGCTCGCATATTCTTTCCTTGCAGTGTTATTGTGTTACTAGAAGTGTCTCTGGTGATACTGAACTTGTTTCTCAGGGAATCCTTGTAGGCTAAGTTTCCAGCAGAGTCAATCAATCCAATCCACTCCAGAGCTTTTCCTGCAGGCTGACGAATCCAGGCTGTAGTATAGCTTGTAACTGAATATGAGACTTTACAGTTGATGGTGAGAGTGGCATCAGGACGAACAGTTAGAGACTCAGGCTGAGTGAGTTCATATGAATCAATACCTGTATCAAATCAAATAATACCAGTTAATAAGAGAGCATGATGCTTAAAAACTGTTAACAAGCTTTTTAGCAACAAAATGATGTATCACACAGAAAGCAGACTAAACTTACAGGATATCACTGCCAGAAGCAGCACTAAAGATGAAGAGATCATGGTTTGTTTCACAGCACAGTTTGAATGAACTGAAGTGATTCTTCACTCCCTCTAGTGATCAGATGAATGT